TATTGGCATCTTTGCCCCACTCCCTGCTGGCTCAGTGTTGTGAAGAAGAACTTTTGGTCACTCATAAACCTGCAACTGTGAAATAGAAAATTATCACAACAAAGCAGTAACGGAAAACACAAACAGCAAAAGAAAAGGCTGGAGACCCAGTGTGCATTTCCCCCCCTTAAAACTGTTTGCATGTACAGTGGTGCCCCGCATAGCGAGGTTAATCCGTTCCGGATTAACCCTCGCTATGCGGAATCGTCGCTAAACGGGTAGGGAAAACGTATTGAAACGCATTAAACTTAGTTTAATGCGTTCCAATACCTTGCTTACTTACCCGTTCAGCGAGGATTCCCCTTGCCGGCAGCCATTTTCGCGCCCTCGCTAAGCGAGGGCAGGGCGTGAAAACGGCTGCCGGCAGCCATTTCCGAGCTTCCGGCAGCCATTTTGGAGCCGCCGAACAGCTGTTCGGCGGCTCCAAAATGGTCGCCGCAATACCCGATCTTCGCAATGCGGGTTTTCCCCATTGCGAAGATCGGGTATGTTTCCGTATAGCGATCCCGAAAAAGGGATCGCTATATGGAAACATCGCTATACGGTGCACTCGTTAAGCGAGGCACCACTGTACTGTCATCTTCACCTCCTACTCCATCACACCAGTGAGAAAAGTATTATTTAGGTCACCAGGTCTCCACCTTTGGTGCTCCAGATAGTTTGGATTTCATCTCCTGGACGTCCCACTGAGCACAGCCAATACCACGATTCAAAATCTAGAGAGCCAAAGGTTGAGAGTAACTTGTCTATATGATTTATATATCGTAGATCTCTCTTCATGTTAAAAAAATCAGTCCCAAGACTGTATTAGAAACATGTACACATTACAGCCACAGTGTAATAATTAAAATAACAAAATTTTAAAAAATGAAAATGTTTTTGAAAGATGGAGAACAGACGTAGGAGCAAACAGGCTTTTGACTTGTAGGTGCCAGGACAGGTTATACTCAAAAGCCACCAGAAAGGCCTGCTGCCTCAGTTTTCTGGCTTAAGTAGAAAAGCAAAGTGAATTTAAGGGGTAATAATCACAGCTAAAATAGAGCAATCAGGTGGAATGCCTACCACCAAGCAGTTTACTCTGCTCTTCAATTATTCTGTTTTTTTCCCCAGTGGCAGAAACTGTAGAACTAGCCAGTATTATTGGGGGTGGGGGGACAGAAAAGCTGGTTCAAATGCAGTGAGAAGACAAGTGCACTCATTACTTGTCTAGAACAACAGTCACTGTAAAAACTGGGGCCAGATGCCAAACTTTCCTCGTTTTCTAAAATATGAAACTGCCCATATACACAGTTACAGAAATAGCCACAAAATGCCACTCTGGTCACAAATTTAAATAGCTTCCCCCCTTCCAAACATGCTTCACAGCATTTTCAGTACCATCACAAAGTTACATGCCTCTTTGATGGAAACTGCGACAATTAAAAAGATATCAAACTGGTTTCATGCTGTACTGCTTGTATTCATTCTGACTCTCACAGTAGAAATGGCATGGTGTTTCCCTTCAATGAATCCATTAATACTTTAACAGTACAATTGCAAACAGCAAGGCTGGAGGAGTCTCAGGAGTCAAGTCTCCCAGGCTCCTAGAAATGTTGGGGGTGGGGGACAAGGCACTTGATGTTTTTGTGCCCTATATTTGGCAATAAGAATTTGCAAGATGCCTTTTGATGTTTCCAGGCAATCCCGTATTACAGACTGGGAAAGCAAGCAGAGTTCAGGTTTAATGTAGCACTGTTTTAGCTGGCATTCCACAGCTGTGCGAGCTTTACATAACCTGGCAGGCAATCAAATGTGGAGCCCCATCAGACACCACGTCATAGCAGGAACACTTCAGAGGAAGCAGATACAGGAAGAATCATGACTCATCCGTGATAGTACAGCATTGATACCTGTCAAAACCACAAGCCCAGTGACAAATTACCAGCCTATTTCAAGCAGGCAAATCTAATGATAATGGAATGCATCCAGTTTCAGGACTTGTCTGCCAAAGCAAGGAAGTTCAAGCAGTTCTGGGCAAAGAGACAGGATAAAATTCCAGTAAATTCTAACAGAAGAGATACCAACAAAGCTGACCCTTCTGAAAGACTAATGCAAGACAACTTGTAAAACAGGCACTATGTTCGTCAACTTTTGATTTTGCTAGAGAAGCATAAAAATCTTCAAGCACTAGTGAAGATGGATGTCCAATACTAAGCAGCTGAAACTTTGTACAGGGGTACCTCGCTAAACTATGAATCTGCATAATGATGACTTTTTTCGATTGCTATAGTGATTCACGGAACAGTCATTCCTATGGAGGATTTTCGCTGGACGTTGATTAGGTCTGTGCTTCACGAACCGTTTGTCCGCAAGATGACGATTTTTTCCAGCTCCGCAAAATGGCTGCCATGTGTTTTCCAGACCCATGCTTCACAGGGCAGCCATTTTTACAGCTGATCGGCGCTCGCAAAATGGCTTCCCTATGGGCGATCTTCGCTGGACGACAAGGTATTTTCCCCATTTGAATGCTTAAAGCATGTTTCAATGCATTCCAATGAGGAAAGGGTTTTCGCATGACGACAATTTTGCTAAACAGCGACAATTTCGCTAAACAACAATTTTCACGGGATGGATTATCATCATCATGCGGGGCACCACTGTAATTCTGAAACTCCAAGCTGTTTCTATTACAGCTCTAGAGGTATACAACATAATGCACTTACCAGTCTATCAACACAATCTGCTATGAACATTACACATGCAAAGGTCACTGACATTAACATCATAAACTATACAGGCATACATTAGGTGGCATACATTAGGTGGTATTAAACTCCTGGTTCTCAGGATATAAGCACTCTCCAAGACTAGCCTATGGGTGAGTATCAGTTTCTTGAGACTCCCCATTTTCATTTTATAGAGAAATGCACCAGCCATTTCCCACAGAAAATGGCCTAAAATATCCCAGAACCAGTAGAAGTTTGATATTTCCATTCCTATCTTCTAAACGTTTGTGTGCATCTCATCCTCCAGCCTTCTCTGGGGAAGTTGAAAACAGCAATGCATTCCCAATTACTCCATATAATGTCTGAAAGAAATCAGGCAGCTTCCTCTCAGAACATCCGTGTGGTGTTACTTCCATAAACAGCAATAAAATGCAAGTAGCTGTGCACCAACGGTCAGATCTGCTTTTATCTGGATTCCTGTATTAAGCAAGTGGTTGGACTCAATGGCCTTATAGGCCCCTTCCGACTCAATTATACTATGACTGTATAAACTGTAAAGCAAGGAATACAATAGACCAGTGGTCCCCAACCTTGGGCCTCCAGATGTTCTTGGACTTCAACTCCCAGAAATCCTGGCCAGCAGAGCTGGTGGTGAAGGCTTCTGGGAGTTGTAGTTCAACAACATCTGGAGGCCCAACGTTGAGGACCACTGCAATAGACCACAATGCAAGCAGCCGTAAATTTGAAAACGTCATGGTCTTTCTTAAGCAAGCTTGCAAATAAATTTACAAACCTGATCTTCAAATTTGTAAATGAATTCTTAAACATCCTCTGCTTTCCTGTGTGGTCTCCTTGGGCAGATTCGTATTTGTCACAGATAATCAGTCAGGTTGTTATTGACGATTCTGCCTTTAAACAGTAACAGAGATGTAGTCCAGGCAATCATCAGACAAAGCTGAGATCTCCTAGAATCCAGCAAAAAAGACAGGATCAACTAGCAAGAGAAGCTACAGACAAATGTTCCTGGAAGGAAAGAACCTTACAAGGAGTTTAATGGCCAGTCCACACTTTGGAATTTGGTGCAATCTGGCTAATGCTTAAAAGGTCCTTATATTCAGTACAATTTATTTTAACTCTCGGTACCCATTCGTGAAGGAACAAGAAAACAGCTATTTTGCATCTCAACGAATTGTTCCAAAAAGACTGCATACCCTGGCCCAGAAAGATATAGGCCAACTCTTAAAAAGGATGGATGGATCATTTTAAGTAAATACACTAGGGCACAAGGTCTTTTCCCCCCATGCCAAGCAATGCTATCAGGGAACCATATACCATTATATGCCAGTGTGGATAGGCTCTCAGTTTGCCTAGATACTGGATAGAAAAAAACTCATATGGAACTGTTTACAGTTCAGCAGAAGTCTTCTGCAATACAAGAAATGGAGAATCTTTTCATGAAAGGTACAACCTTTCCTTGGCAAAGGCATTCTG